TTTTTGATTTAAACCTGTCCTCTGAACTTCTGAGGCAAAGCCCAAAGATACAGCTACTGTGTTTCTGAACATCTAACTCTATATGTACACAGCATATGCATCCAGATACGTGTATTTATTATATCATATAATCTGGATGTCACTGGGATAGCCAGACAGCTACTATCTGGGGGTACAGCTGCTTCTAAAGAGCAACAGACACAGCTATTACAGACCAAATTCCTTGGACTCTGGCACTAGGAAAAGAACAACAGGATCGGAAATTAATAAGCAATTTACTACAAAACTAATTACAGCTGATCACTTCATTGTGTTCATGAAGGGTTTGAGGAGAGAAACCTGACATTCCTGCCAAGTTTTGAGAGCCTTTCATCTTCCGTGGATAGGTGAAAATTTGAAATGTGCAAGAAGAAAGGACGAAGTGAATAGAATTTCTAAAGGGCATTACTGTTTTATAACCCTGAGTCAGTTTTTCATCTAAGACATAAGAATTGATGTCAAGTGGCAAGTAATGAAATATTTCTTAAGCTGCTGGCTGGATCCTCCAACACTGCTAATTGAAGCGGCCCCAGAGATTTTTCAATAGAACTCTGGCAACTTGGGAAAGCTCAGGGTGTGCTCTATTCTATTGCTCCTCACTGATTAGGACACACGCTATAACAATAAGGATTGCGTATCCTTAATAAATATATATATATATATAAATATAAACCAGCCATCCACAATACAGAGCTTGTAAAGACTTCAGAGAGGTTTCAGCCTTTTAGTTCAAAACGGATAGTTAAAGTTCATCTCTTTATGGTATTGTGATGTCATCTGTCTGAATAAATCTGGAGTTGCATCTCATTTAATAAGATTATATGGTCAAACAGAGTGGAAGCAATCTGCCTGAACATTTCTTGGCTGAGTGGTTTCAAAAGCATCTTTTGACACTAATTTGTTGAATGGATGATTGTGAGCAACACAAAAACAAATTAAAAGTTTTAAATGCTTGGGTTATATCCTCAGCTAGGAAAAAGCTAAGGTGGTCCATTAAATTCAGCATGACTTCTATCTACCGAAGGTCTGGCTCTTTATGCTAAATGTGACTATGCACATGCTTGGGCATAGAGTTATACACAGCAGACAATTTATTCTAGTACTGAGGATCCTTCAGCCCCATACTGCCAACAGAAGTAGAAGCATTTGTCAGCTCAGAAGGTACAGAATTAACTTCTGTGTTCTTGCAGCTAAGATAGTTGGGGAAACCACCAGAGGCCCTGTTCTGCTAGACATGAGAATCTGATGGACATGAATGTACATTGCTTTGACATACATATATTGTGTGGTCTATTTTACATCAACAGGTAAGTATGACATGTTCATCTACACCCAGTACACAGTGAAAACTCACCAGTCTTTAAAATTAAACCCTGCCACTGTCAAGCCAAATGCTTACAGGTGCTCTCTTTAGCCCTTGGTCCAGTGCTTCTTCTGGTTTACCATGAATCTTTCAGTCTTCCAATTTTCTGCTGCATGCTATTCTCCATCCTTTTCACTAAATGCCTGTCATGTCCACCTGATCTGCACAAATGGCTGCTTTTCCTGGCTCCCTTCTCCTGTTTTGCTCTTCCCTATCTCTCTCCGGCACTATTTCACGCTGATGTAAATGTGCAGGTTATTAACATTTTTGCTCAGTTTTTCCTTCCTGTGCACTAAGGGCAGGTATTGAATAGGAACCAGCAACAATGATAATACCTGAAAGCATCTATAAACACACAGAGTAAATAATGGAAGAGTATTTAGATAGAAATGGGAAAAGAAAGAAGACTCAATAACTGAGTCTGACTGCTCTAACTTGCCCCCTGATTTTAGCTTAAAAGAGCAATATAAAGAGATAGCTTTCAAATCCTGTGCTTGTTTACCACATGCTGGGTTTTATTGAGTTTGTGGCTTTGTTTATTTGGGGTTTTTGTTTTCTTTTGTTTAGGTTTGTTTTTTTTTAATGCTAGCAACACAAAATCCGGCACCTCACACCCTATTCTGTTTTCCATTGCATGAGCATAATGCAGATGGAAACTGCAGTGGGTCATATGTATGACCCACTGAGAGCAAAATTTCAACTTAATTAGCTTAAACTGAATTTAGGAAAATATTCTTCCAGCTTCTAATCAACTAGCAGAATGAGGTTGTTTGGGTTAAAAGATCATTTTTAGCCAAAAGGGTAACATTTGAACACCAGTTAGGCATCTCAGGAACAAAAAGGATGTGCAGCGATTTCCATTTAAATTCAGAAGGAAATCAGTCTTCATACATCACAGTGGAAGATAGCTGCCAGCTGCAGTCAGGGAAGCATCTCCCCTCCGTACCACAGCAATTAAAAGACCATGTAATTATAGTTGATCTGGCACCCACAGAAGTCAAAGGAAAGCCATTCATTGACTGTAATGGTCTTTGGAGCAGCTTCAGAATTTCTCCAGCATATGTAGTCCTGACACTTTGGAAACCAAAAGCTGCCCAGTTTAACTACACTCATCCACAGCTAAAAAAAAGCAAGAAGGTGTTTTCACATCTTTCTTTCATCTAATATAAACACAGTCCAGCACAACTGACCAACTGTCTGTTAAATAGACTATTTGTGGAAGGAAATAAGTATGGCAAGTTAGTATTTACCCGTGGACCATTTGACAACAATCAAGGCTTTGTTTCCTTTGGAAGAAAAGCCTCCGCTTTCAATCTAGGAAACTCAGACCTTTTGTCCACAAAAAAAAAAAAAAAAAAAGAAAAACTCTGAAAAGTATAAGCCAGGATCGACCCTCCTTTCACCAAAAGCTCTTTTTTAATTATCCTGGTTCATCCATGAGCAGGGATAATAAAAGCAGGCACAGAACAAGTTTGCTGCAGCTCTCACCTTTGTGGCTGTTTCTATTAGATATTTTTAAGTTTCAAAGTTTTCCAGCTTTTCAACAGAAAGCCAAATCTTCCACCAAGGGAAGGAAACAAGCATAACACATCACCCTCAAACATTTTCCAATCATCTAATTTCCTCAGGTAAAAACCATTATCCACAAAAATTACTGTTTTAGGGAAAATAGGTCTGAATTTTAAAATCAGATTATACCGTAGCACAAAATTTATAATAAAACCTTTCGTGTACATAACAAATATTTCAACCCTCCTGTTATTTTTTTTTCTAGCACTGAGTGGTATCTGCTCTGCACACATTTTAATACTGAAGAGGTTTCTGAAGGAGGCTTTTGTTGAATTATTTTATAGGCACTATTGAGGACTAACTCCAGAGAGGAAGGCACTTAATCATTGCTGAAAATCCCCAGGTAGCTCCGCAAATCCACAGGCTTTTGTGACCAAGATATATTTACCATGTTTGTTAGCATTTTCTTGACTTTTGAGGAGTTTGCAGTTCTTCAGACATACTTGATTCACAGATTGCGTTGCTGGGCATAAACTCAATTTAGCTATAGACCTTAATTCCCCAACTACCATCCCCTTCTCTCCACTCCATCCACTAATTTAAGAAGCCTTCTGACAAAGAAGTTTATTATATTAAATTCATTTCTGAAAAAGGGTATGGTTTCACCCCTCTAAATGGAAGTCTAGCCTTACCCATCCTGTGAAGGCAATGAGAAATCAGCTTAACTGAGCCTGGAAATTTGGTGTCTAGAGGCATTGATCTCAAAACCCAGTTATTCCTCTGATGTAACATTTTCCAAGCACTCACATGATCTATAGAGTCAGTCCTGTGTTCAAAAATTGCTATATTTAAGTTCTGGTAAGTGTTGCTTACTTTCAATGGGCAGTAAACTTAGAAGACCCAAATCCTATCTGAAACAAAACTAGAAGTACTTCCACAAAATTTTATTCGAGAAGTCCGTTTTCACAAAACTGGATTCAGTCTCCATGCCTGTAATGAACTGTACCATGAACTCTATTTCTAGAGCATGACTGAAATGTCTCCACATCCAGGATGCCAAGATAACTCTTCTGCATCTCAAAGTAGCCTTGAAGTATCCAAGAGCCCTCTTCAGCCCGAGATCATAGGAAGTCCAATAAAACTGGATTTCTTCATGAAGAGTGGCAGCAGTTTGACCAAATACACACATATGCTGGAAACCTGAGCTAAACAGATTTCACCTTTAGCAACAGCCATATATTTTATTTATTCAAGTCTCTCTGCTGCCTCAGACTCACAGAAAATAAAAACAAAAACAACCAACCACAAAAAACCCAAAAGGAGATTATTTGCTTGGATGGAAAGTTACCCTTGGACCTGACCATTTTCATTTATGCTGTAAACCAGTGGTAGTTACAACCTCATCCCGATATACAGGATGCCTGAAGCGATTAAAGAAGCTGCTGGAGCAAAACAGGGAAATGCATCAATGTGTTGAACAGGAGAGTGTCACCCACTTCACGTTCTACTGAGATGGATGAGGCAAGCAACTGCCTGATCCGGAAAACATCTGCTAAACAAAATCAAAATTAATGATAACCAGAATGAGCTCTTTGATGGCCAATCCACACCCAGCTGCCGGGATCCATCAAAGAGCCACTCACAGCAGCAGCCAATTAGTTGCTAACACAAAAGAGTTTACAGGAGCAGGCTCTGAGCTCAGAGCACCAGCATTTAACACTGCTGCACCTTTGGGGGGATTTGCAGTGTGCTGACACATGGAAAGCCTTGGCTGGACCATTTTCCTCCCTGAAATGCTCCAAGGTCAGAGTTTAGACCCTCTGCCAGCACTCAACAAACCTTGACTTGCATCCCCAATATCATCATGCAGTTCTGTGCTGAAAGAACAACTTTTCATTGAAACAACAAAAAAAAAAAACTACAATTTGCGACACTAAGAACTGTCAGGCAAGCGTTAGTAGGCAGCCTCTTTGAAATTCCACAGCAGCACACTCTTTCAAGTGTGTAAACTCATGTTTGTTTTTAAAAGTTACTGCAAGAATACTCAACACCAACACACACATTGAAAGAAAACTTTTTTTTTTCCTACCTTTTCTTCTTGTAACTTCAAACCTTCTGGAGTCCTATAAGGAAAAAGAGAATTTTTTTGTGTGGTTTTTTTTTTTTTTTTTATATAAGAATTGTTCAAAGGCAGCATGAACAGAACCCCCTAAAAACATTAGTCATTGTCCCAGAGAAGCATCTGTGAAGCTCTACACAATAACTGAGGAATAATTATAAGCATACATTTCAGTTTATCCACAGATATTTAATGGATCAATATATCACTTAAAATGATTCATCATTTTCTGGGTAAGTTACATGGTAGAGCACAATATCTTTCTTTAAAATGGATGGGTTTTCTTCTATTGATGTTAAAAGGGAGCAGCTAGGAGGGTTATTATAACTCTAGCAAGGGTTTAGAGTTGAGGATGGAGGAGACATTACAGATATTTTTAGCAGAGACTTGTTCAAATAACTGAATAATTTCAAAGCAACCAGACTACCCATGCTTAGAGCTGAAGGTTCATTTCAATCTTTGCACACCTATATCATTTGCCTTATTTCTTGCAAAGCATCACTACCACCTCTAATATACTTCTTTCTAAAAGACATTGCATAAAGTCTCAAAGGGTATTGCATTCCCAGACAACACTATTTATACGAACGGTGAGACTCCAGCAGAATAAATATTTAATTCCAAGCAGTAACACTATTTATGGGTTAATTACAAATACTTACAATTTCCATCATTTGAGCTACTTCTTGCAACCAGTGTTAAAAATAGAAGAATCACAGAGGACTCTAAAAGACCGTGTTGTCTGGAATCACGCTGACCTGGACCGTGCCCACTGATGGGTGGTACAGGATTAATCCCACCGAGTGGAAATTTAAACCAGGAAGACCCCAAGGTGCCACCAGGCCCCAGCACTGTCTCCACCCTGGTACCCCCCAGCACAGACACAAAGAAGAGGAGCGAGCTCCCCACACCCCTGCTAGAAGCTCATAAGGCAGGTTTTTACTCTTGTGGATGTGCCTTGTTTAACCTCTTTTCTTAGGGTTCACTGTTCTCAGATGTTTATCAGAGAATAAAATAACAAAAAGGTTTGTTTCTCTCCTCCTTTTCATAGGGAAGTAACACATGGGTTTCCCCAGACAGCTGAGCCTTCTGGCCCACCTGATGCTTATTACAGTTTTATTTGTACTTTTTTCACTTTTAAAAAAAATAAAGTGCCTCCCTGCAAACCACATTTAGACAAAGGCAAGTATAGCGCTATGCATCTAATGAAATATATTCCTGGTCCCCTTCTGCAGGACAGAGTACTCTGCCACAGGGTAATTAAAAATACAGAATGATGCCACTGGAGCCCATGATAAAAAATATAGAGCTTTTCAAAGTGAGAGATAGAAATAGACAAAAGAAAAAAAAAATAGCTTGTGGAAGTGATGACAGTACCTGCATCAGGTAATTCAGAATGAGGTGGTTTATTCAAGGATGTAATATTACACACACCACACAGCAGTGTTGCAGCAATGCATCTACTGCCTGCAGAAATGCTCCTTGCTGCCTCCCATCCCTCTCCCAGGACCCCCACCACAACCGCAGTGTTCCTCCAGCCCAGGGGACCAAACCACATCACATCATCCGGCCCAGCTCCACTCAAATGTGGTGACAGTTTATACTTTGTCCGTTGTCACCAGTTGTGTAGGCAACAGATGCTGATTCTCTTCCCTACAAGTAACCGGCAAGCTGTCTCAAAAACAAAGCTTTCACTAAAACCAAGAAGGATCAGAGCAGCAGAAACAGTCTCTGTGGCACCCTCCAAGTCAACTGAGGGGGATAAACAAAAAAATTGGTATTTGCTTGTAAAAATTCTAAGTTATTACTCCCTGTAGGATACTACCTCAGTGATCTTGAGAAATATATAAAATGACATTCAGGATTAGTACAGACTTCAAAGCATTTATCCTCTTTAGGCAGCAAAGCTCTGAGCTGCGTAGACAGTTATACTCCAGGGACCTCTCAGAGCTTTTCAAAATATTAGTTTGAGAGGTGGGGCACAGGATAAAAATTCAGATACAGCCTGCTATCATTAAGCCCGTGTACATATAATATATGCAAAAAGAAAGAGTACTTTTAAAGTTCCCCTGGAGTCCCTCACTTTAACAAGCTGTTTGAATTCTCTGCAGTTCAAAAGCTTAGCAACACTAAAACTAATTACAACTATTACATTGATCAAAAGAAAAAAGACAATCACAGTCTATAAAAAATTCAAGTGTCAGCTTCCTTGTATTAAATACTCTTTTGGTATTTCCATGAAAGGAACTACATAGACATCGTGAAAAACAAAGGATGGTCTTCAAAGTTTCCCTTCTTTTACTCTGTTCCCCTTATAATTATAAGCTCTAGTGAATGTAAACTATCCCAAAAAACAGATGCAGGATTCAGAGGAAAATCTTGTTAGAAATGCAATGGCAGAACGTGAGGTCAGGCTGCAAGTCATCACTTCTCATTACCTGGGAGAGTATCAGCACTTGGTATGTCCCCCAAAACATCCCCTTCCATGGAGAAAAGACCAATGGCACTGAGTACACTCAACATTTCAGGAGAGTACACAGAAAAATGGGAAATGGGAAAAATACCTGGCAACTGTGGCTGGGCTTAAAGAGCAGTCACAAAAAGGCATCAGATCCAGGTACAGACACAATCCTGGTTTCTATCCCTCTAGTAAAGTGAAGCTATGGCAAGGACTCATTTTTCTTAGTTTTCCTCAGTCAAAACATCTCTCTTCTGTAGTACAGAAAAAAAAAGAAAACGCTAATTTTTCTCCTTGAGGCCATGTTGAACGTAAGACCTTTGTATTAGTGATCTCGTATACCACTAAGAGTCATTACCAACAACTGGCCACAGGCACCATGCCACACGCTATGACTTGGGCAATCTCTTCAGAAGAAGGAATAGTCACCCTTTCTTTAAAGATACTGCTCTCAAGTTAAAAAAAAAAAAAAAAAAATCACACAGAGGTTTTAATAGTGTTACTAGTATAACGCCAAACTATTTTGATAAAAATGACACTAAAGTTCTCGGATGCATTGCCTGAGGAATATTCTTCTGCAGAAGCCATAAAGCAGATGGTTATAAATGAGACTTATTTCATGGGCACCATTTAATGTCTGCAAATTCCTTTAACTAAAAATCTAATTTTATCAGAGCATAAATCATATGCTTTGAAGGGAAAAATTTGTTTCAGATTTCTCATTCCTTCTATAAAGCTTCTTCATGAATCCTATTTTAAGTAGCATTTCATTAATGCAATACAACAGTTTTATTTGTCAAGGTTCGCTTTTAGCACCTATTTTCCTGCTTTTTAATGTTAATTAATTGAATGCAGAATAAAAGGTCCTTCTGTATCTGAAGTCCCTAATTATTATTATGGGGAAATCAATGTAGCATATTTGCTACAGTATTGCTTTTCACTAGACATGTAGCTACTTAAAAACTGTATCTCCAAAAGACCAACCAAGCCAGGGTCAGTGCACAAAAGCAGATACAGTGTCATCGAGTACAATTACTAATCCTACCTGGATTAGAAGGGACAAAAATAAAAATAAAAATCAGAGATACAGTTCACTACCTGCTGTCACACAGCTTCCCTCCCCCGTAGCTGCCATGTGTTGCACATCAAACACCTGCATGAACCTTATCCAATTTAACAACTGTTTTGCACAAATCCCTTTTCTGATCTTACAAAAAGGGAATGTCAGTCTTTCAGGAGACAGTGTCTAGATGTCCTGCCAAGACATAATAGCTGGTTTGTGTTATAGGCTCCTGATTAATGCTGAATCATAGGCCCATGGATGAGCAGAGTATTTCTGGAATGAAGAATCTGCTTTCATTCAGAACAAACTTGGGGGCGGGGGGGGAATTTCATTGTGCGGAGTTAAAATACAGCTACCCAGAGGGAATACACAATATAGTACAGTGCTTGGTAGCCAACGTGCTGCAAACAGATTTACTGACGGTCATTAGTGATGGATCAAAGCAGCAAAAACACATTGAGGTGGTTTGGTATCAGTCTAAATAAAACCTTTAAATACCTCCCCATAAGACTTTTCCACATTTGTCCTATATACCTACAAAGAACATACTGTGCACTATCCAAGGCGATGCTCTGCCTCCTGGAAATCCCTGCTGCAGGGAGAGCAGGGTACCTGAGCCCCGGCTCTTCTGCTGCTGAAGCGGGAGGCCCCTCATCACCAGACTCTGCTGGAAAAGGACCTTCCTAGCTCAGGCTCCCATTTCCACCAAAACACTTTACAAAGGTTTTCTTTCTCAAATACTCTATTTCACTTCCCTCTCCACCTAATTAACTTTTTTTTTTTTTTTTTGCACTCTTGGCTAATGGAAGACTTGGCTTCAGCTCTCCCGTGGTTGAGCAAACTCAAGTTTGCTGGACAGCCCTATTCAGTGTCTTGGTACACGGCCTTTGGTGTGCTGCCCTTGAATGTCTTTAACAAGTGAAGCCCAGGAAACGTAGAACCACCACCACTACACTAAGAATATTAATTTCCCTGTTAAGATCACTTCAGCTTAGGTTTATTACACCAACGCTAACCAGCAGTTGATCACTTTTGCTTTTTAGAGCTGCATTCAAGTAAACAGGGGGGCGGGGAAGGACCACGTGTGTGCTCCTCTTAGCTTTATAAATAGCTACAGGTAAGACCAACACACTGAAGGGCTATTTTCTGAATAGAAAAAGTGCTCTATGAAGCCCAAGAAATTGCTGTATTGAACTGTGAGGACTTTGTCATGTAGAAACCTAATTCCCACACTTCAAGGGCAATCCCTGTTAATAATATCCACATATTCTCTCCAGCCAAGGAAGGAGCAGGCAGAGCAGAAGTCATGTGGATGCTTAACTACATGAAATTGTTATTGCAGCATGAGCGAGGGGAGGTCATTCAGAAACAAAGCTAACCCAGGGCTGTCTGCAGGAAGCACAGGACAAAGAAGAGCTTCCCCAAAGCTTCAACACACCTGTGGGACTGGGGACAAGACGTGGACACACAAACAAGATGCTCA